AAGTCTTGATTCTCATTTTTTCCCCTTACCTCTGCCCTCCCTTCACCCCCTCCTCCCCTCCCCATCTACAAACACTTTATTTTCATCTTTTCATTCTCTCACATTTTTTTCTTTTCCCTTTTTGTTCTTCCCCTATGCATCACACCTTCCCTACACCTTTAGCTCCTTTCTTCAAATTTCTAAATGTCAGTAATCTTATTAGAATCTTATGCATTGTTAGAGAATATTCACACCAGGGAAACTATTTGGTATTTACACATGTGTGACTTATTTATTTCACTTAGGAGTATATCTTCAATATGTATCCATTTTCCTATGAATGAATCTATTCTCTGCACACGAGTGTCTTTGTGTGTGTGTCCATCCTGAATTACATGGTGACCTAACAATCTAATCAAAATACAGACCAGTTCTTCCCACAGTGGCTTACAGGGACATAGCCACAGGAGACTTTAGATATGAAAAGGATTCTGATGTTAAATAAGTTTGAGAAATTCTGTACAGGATGTCTCCCACTTAAATACTCAAAATGCACCTTTTCAAATTAAATTGGTCAGAGTAGGCCTGCAACTTGGAAGTAATTTAACATTATTGAATGTGGCATTTTCCAATGTTTCTTTATTTAGCAAACTCTTTTCTCACATAACAGAAATATTTTCTAGAGCGAGTGTCGCATAGAAACGACCTTTGGACCTGTTGGACCAGACAGAAGGAAAAGACAGTTACAGATGGGAGCTTCATGGGGTAGATGTTCACAATGGGTAATATTTAGTAATGCTGGCTGTTCCTGGAGAGAAAATGAGAATGAGCGGAGTCTCACAGATCTGCCTGAGAAGAAACCAGTCTGATTAGAGCAAAGAGCACATATTTATAAGGAATCAGATTATGAAAGGCTTGAAATTCATCTATACACTTTTTTTCTTTTGTTCATAGGCATCATTAAGTTCCTGCCGTATTTAGACACTAACAATTTGGTATCTCAAATCATAAGAAAAATATCACTTAAATTAACAAAATTCATTTATTCAACTTTTGTCAAGCACATACTATATACTACCTTCAATTAGGCCACATAATTTCCATTCTGAAGGATCTCTCAGGTATATAAAAGTGACATTTTCATGAACCCATGTACATAGAAGTAGCAGAGATATTCATAGATACTATTGAAAGGATTCTCAGCGAGCATTTCAGAGCAGGGGAAGGTTATCAGGGACTGCTTCCTTGAAGAGGCAACTTGTGAGCTTTGTCCTGAAGCATGAATAAGAATTAACTGAGTAATGAGAGAGAATGGCTTCCAAGTATGGACATGAAAAGAGGGTGGCAAGAATAAAGGCACAAAGGACTGGAAAAAGTTCTGCTTAGTGTGTGTACGTTCAGGACAACTAGAGTCATGGCAGGGGGTTAGCGCAGGCAGAGAACAGTTGCAGAATGAGGCCAGACAGACAAGTAGAGGCCAAGAGGTGTCATATGCCACGTTACAGTTTGGCCTTCTAAATCAGAGGGAGCTCCTGGAACCTTTTACTTTGCACACTCGTATGAACATACTTGTGATTTTAGTAGATTATCCTGGCAGCCATGTGTACAATGGATTTGGGAGACGGGTTATACAGCTGCTTCAAGCACACAGAAGATGGCTGGGAAAAAGACCCCTGGGCACTGAAATAGGTGAATTTGTGGCCCACACAGGACAGGAGTTCTCTCTTCTAGATCCTGAAGATTCTTTCTTTGCACACAGTTTTGCTAATATTTGCAAGTAGGGAGTAGGGAGAGATTCCTAGAGCCAATAATACTCTGACGAAATAATAAACAGCAAGGAAAGAGAGAGGTTTAAAAATCTGTACATAAAATTAACTATTAAGTATAGAGTTTTAGAGCACAGGATTTGGGTGGTAGAAAACTTTGGACAAAGAGCTAGCTTCTCTAAATATTTCCTAATCTTAAAATGGGACTATTAATAAAAGTGCCCTCATTATTAGAAATAGCTAGGATGAGTAGATAAATTAATGTTTAAAATCTCAATGCTTGACAGTAGTTAAGTACCTGTTAAATAAGAGCTGTTTCTATTTATGTATTTTGGATCATTTTATTAGAGCCACAGTGCTACTTCTGTGGATGTTAATTTGTTGTTACATTAAAAAATGGTTCTGTGCCATATATATTTTGGAAATTGGGATATTAAATACAATTTCATTGTACATTTCTACAGGAAGAAGTGATAGGATTAACATACTTATTAATAATTAGATGATTAAAATGCTCATAGGTATTAGGCAAATGTGTGAATGAATACCAGCTTTTTGGCAAAGGCAACTAACTCTAAGTATTTGTTGAGCACTGAGAGGTTTATGGTAAGTGAGTGAAAGGAAGAAATAAAGCAAGAAAGGGAGATGAAGACCACTGAGCAGGGATGAATAATGAAAGTTAGGGCAGCACAGCAGTGTGAAAATGATTTGGAGAAGAGAGACCCTAAAAGACTGAAAAGAATGTTGCAGCAAGGGCACAAGAGAGCGGTTCTGTGTGCTGGGCACTTCATGGCATTTCCAGAGAGACACTGCTGCCTGGCGTCGATCCCATCTGCAAGTCTCACTTGGCCCAAAGTATTCTGGATACTACCAAGATTATCCTCAGGCACAAAAGCTTTAAGTAGCCATCCACTGCAATGTTTCCTCTTGGTCCTGTCCTGGACAACCAGGAGTCGAGTTACTTATATCCATTAACTATGTCAGATCTTTTATGTGTAGCCTGGGATCATTTCTTTTCACTCAGTGAGGCCCAACCAAGTCAAAGGTTGGATACACCCTACCTAGACAAAAGGTAGGAATGCTGGTGGTATTGAAAATTAAATGGGTGTTCTCCAACTTTAACCTATTATAAGGACATGCCTACCTATGGACCAGAATATAAGCAGGACTCTGAACAGATGCACAGATGGAGTGTTCACTTTGTAAAAATCTTCTCCATCAATGTCAAATACCAGGCTGTGCTGATGTGTATTGAATATCATTCTCAAATAGCACATAGTACACACCCTTGGTTCTAGGTGTTATAAACCTAGATAGAGTTTGCATTTGAATGCTAACTTGAGATACTATCAAATATACTTTAGTTAGTACAGTACTACATTTCTGATTCCAAGACGAGTCCTAATTGCAATCACAATGCAAATATTCAGATTTTTATGTTTTGGGAAGTAACATACCTTATACCAATGAAACTGTTTTCCTTGAACTGCAAAAATGACATTAATGTTGTTGTCTATTAGTTTTTCTGAAAGTTGACCTAGCGAGGGATGTTCCTGTAATAGGTGATAAAATAAGATGGCAAGTGTTATGGTTTTACTAGAGGCATTTACATTATTTTCAAATAGAGCATCAATATCAAATTATTAAGGACACTTTTATAGGCAAAAGCTCTATAAAAACCCATAGCACAGAAATGAAGAGGGCCTAATTCAACATGTACAAAAAAGCCATCAAGAACCTTTTAAAAAATCAGCATGGAATCAAAGTAATGGAATTGAAAGATAATTTAATATTTAGAAAATGAGGGGCTTGGGATTTTGCTCAGTGGTGCTGCCACCTGCCTCGCAAGCGCAAGGTCCCGAGATTTCAATCCCCGGTACCAAAAATAAAAAGAAAGAAAGAAAAAGAAAAGGAAAGAGAAAAAAAAAATTAGAAAGAGATACATTAGTGACAGTTACATTCCGAGGCCAAAGTCAGTAACAACAATTGAAATGTAAATATATATTTGTGCATATGTATATACCTACAAACATATGCACCTACACAACCATATATGCATATATATATATACACACTAATATGTGCATATATATATATTTGATTTATGACATATAGAGTATGAATGCTCTTTAGAAGGAGAAAATGCTGTGCTCAAATCCTAGGTTTGTTACTTTATTGACAAAAGTTCTTGGTTCCATCCTCTGTTAACATGTGAATATTTATTTGGCTTCCCACGACTGATGGCAACATTAAAGCACCCACAATAGTATGTGAAGTATTTGGTGTAGTTTCTTGTATCCATTAGATATTCAAAACTAATAGCAAGTATGATTTTCATTTCTAACTACTTGTACATATATAAATACCTCTCAATTTATTATCAGTATACTTAATCTGTTATAGGATATATTATAGACCCGCTTTATTTTGATAGATAAAATATATGCAGCACCAGTTGTGGAACTCTCTGTGGTAGTAACAAATTACAGATAAGTAGGAGAAAGGGAATGAAGTTTTGTTTTAAGGGCTAGAGATATAGCTAAGAGTTAATGTGCATGCCTAAAATGTGCCCTGGGTCAGTCCCCAGAAGTGAAAAAATAAATTTGGGATAGAAAATGTGTGAAATTACAAATGACCGAAATTGCTATCTAAAGTTATATAGTTAAAAATGGTACTCTCAGTTTTTCTGTAAGTGTTCTCTGAGGAATTAAAGTGATTGTTTCTACTACATTCATAACCAGACATCTCCCAGAGTGATGATATCAAACTGCCCATCGTCTTCCTACTTGTTTGTTGGTGCCTAACTGCATGAACCAAAGCTTTTGTGACTGAGCCTAACTAGTATCCTGTGATTCAAGCTCAAATTGTTTCATTGTTTTTGCTCTTTGTTGCACTCACCAGTCTTAACTGTGCTTTCTTTGTGGGAAATTTTTGCTAAACCAGTTTTGTTATTAATATCTCTGCATTTTGGAAAATAAGTGAGCTTAGCAAAAAGTTAGATTGACTAGTTTCACTTACAACCTAAATTCCATGACCCACATACTAAATTTACAAATACAGACATAAGGTATGGTCTGATGTTTAAAAATATTACTGGCGTTGAGGATGCAGCTCAGTGGTAGAGTGTGTCTTTAGGATGCACGAAGTCCTGGATTCAATCCCAAAGAGAAGCTATATATATATATATCCTTCTATTTCTATATTGTCTATATTTGTTGTGGCAGCAATAACCTATATTTTCATGGGTTGCATTTAAATGTGATATGAAACCAATTTGTGAAAAAGGCTTAAAAAGTATTACCACATGGGTTTGAATAAGAACAGTTCTGGCCAAAGCAATTCTGAAGAATGTAATTTTAAAGTAATAAAAAAAAATCTTGCAACATAAATTCGCCAGCTAAATTCTTATTCCTAATAAAAGGCATAATCTTAAAATAATTTATAACTGTTTACCTGATACTAATAAATTAAAGAGAACAAGTCAAGGCAAGGTAAATCTAATTGTATTGGGAGTATTGTTTTAATGACAGCAACTACTTTTCAAATAATTTTGCTTTGACAAAAAATAATTGCAGCTTGCCAAACACTCACTTTCCTTAATTTAAAAAGCTATTCATATTATAAGGAAAATTTAATCCATATGTTTTTAACCAGCTAATATTTAGCTCACACGAAAATCAGTATTTAAAGAACAGTTGAAAATGTAAGCAGCTTTAGGAGCCTGCTTAATCTTGTTCCCCTTCCAAAAACAGGAAATCACATTGCCTAAGTGTACACAAAATTTAAATCTGGAATATTCTAGTTTTGTCAGAAGCTCATTAAAAAGATTGGTCAGACTTTTAAGCTTAAAAGAACACATGTTTCAAACCCTAGAGAGAAATCTGTTTTAAAAGAAAATTCCGAGTACCTTGAGGCAGATTTCTAAAAACTACAAATGTATAACAGATGTTTAAATAAACCGCCGTTGACAAGAGACCTATGGATTAATGGCCCTTTCTGAAGCCCCTTCCCCCTTCCTCCATGAAGCATATTATCTTTCAGGATTTTATCTTTTATGTGTTTTATTTTGCCAGCAGGAGAACCCATTCCCTCACAGCCAGCTGTCCTCTCTGGTGACGTCATTGCCCCTCCATCTAACTCCCCCCTGTCTAACCCATTCCATGGTGTTTCTCTTAACCCTGAAAATAATTACTGGAGATAACAGGCATGTCAGGGGCAAAAGGGAGAAGGTAAAGCAATATGCCAAGGCAGCTGCTAAGTCATTAAGGCTGTGGGAAGTAAGTTATAAATGTCAGAAGGAAAGAGGAGGTAAGAAAGATTCATTGGGAGCAATTTCGGTTAAAGAGATAACTGTGTTGAGATGTATGGTAGAAGTTTAATAACGTGTGTATCTAGGTGGATAAAGAGAAATGTTTAAATTTCTTTCCATCTCAGGTAAAATTAGTAATAAAAAGTTTGTGAGATAATTTAGAATTTGCAACATTGAATATTCTAATAATCTATTTAAACAACCCCAAAAACTTCAATGTCAATTATGTGGATTATATTTTAGAGTTCCTTTTTTAGAGGAATGAGACAAATAACATGGAAGTAATCTGACAGCAGAGATTTATTTACAGATGGAAATTTTAAAGTATATGTTGTCAGTCCACATCTACCCAGATAGCCTATTTTCTAGCTACATGGAGGTACAGCGGTAACTGCATAGACTAGGGTTTCTTAGCAGCAGGGGTTCTCAACATTTGGGAATGGATGTTCTTTGCTGTGAGGCATCCTGTGGAGTGCAGAAAGGTTAGCACCATCCCTGCATCTACTCTCTAGAGAGTAGCGCCTTCTTTCTCCAGCTGTGACTACTGTGTCTCTGGATATAGAAGTGTCCCCTAGTGGATAAAGTTGCTCCATCTGAGAACCACACCAAGAGCAGGAACTCTGGAAACAGACCATCTGGAGCTCCAGCTCCCAGCTCTGTATTTGCTTGCTGAGTTTTATAGTTTGGACCTTCGATGTTCCTTCCCAAAGGCCCATGTGTTGAAAGCTTAGTCCCTATCAGGTGCTGGTGGGAGGTGGTATAACATAGAAGTGAGACCTAGCAGAAGGCCATCAAGTTACTTGGGTGTGTCCTTGAAGGAGGCTGTGGGAACCTGCTTCCTTATTCTTGCTCTCTTTTGCTCCCTAGTCATGATTTATGTGGTTTCATTCTGTCATATGTTCCCACCACTGCCATAGGCCCAAAGCAATGGGAGCAACTTATCAGGACTACAGCTCCCAAGACTGTGAGTTATAATAAATCTTTTTTCTTTAGAAGTTGATAATCCCAGGTAGTTATTATAGCTATGGAAAGGTCACTAATACACTTTGTGACTGGGCAACAGTCAATATTCCAGGAATCCTATATCCATATCTATATCTGTAACCATACCCATATCTAACAGATATAAATACTATTGTCTACCTCTCAGACTTATGAGGCAATAAATGAGAAATGCAGAGACTTTCCTTTACCATTCTATAATTACTTCATCTGCATTTATTGTGAGCAGGGAATCCTGTCTCAAAGTTGCACTGGTTGGTGTCTGCTGCAAGCACTGCTGTACAAGGGAGTGTGAATGCGGACAGGATACTGATGCCTCAGTACTGTCATTCTCTCATTTACAGAACAGAAATGAAGCAGTATCTCATCTCCTTGGGATGTTGAGTGGTTTCAATACAAGATTACTGAGGGAAGAGATATACTGGGGGTGTGTGTCAGATATGCTCTTGGTGCGCTTTAATTGACTTGCTTTATCTATTTACCCTTTATAACTGGGCTTTCTGTGATTGGAATTTTTTTTGTTTTTGTTTTGTTTTTGTTTGTTTGAGACAGGGTCTCACTATGTAGTTGAGACTAACATGGAACTATGTAGCCCAGGCTGGTCTTGAACTCACAAAGATCCTCCTGCCTCAGCCACCCGAGTGCTGGGATTACAGGTGTGCACCACCACTCCCGGCTCATCTGGGGTTGGAGTTTGTGGCCCCTGCCCAAAACAGGCATCAGTTGGAATCATAGTACTCTGCTTACTGAAGGAGGGTGTGGACTACAATTTTTGTGAGCATTTTAAGAGTCATAATAAAATTTTCTTCCTAAATATAATTTGACCAAGACATCTAATTTCATTACAATATTACATTCCATGAATTTTAAAACCAAATTTAAATTTTACTGTGCTGCTATTCCATTCCTAGCTTTCATTTTGTTCCATTCCAAAGGCACCACAGAAGCAGAGGCAGGCTCCTCAAAGCCTGTTGTAGGTGATATCTGCATGCAACACTTGCTTTCAATAATAACAATAACAATAACAATAACAACAATAATTATAATTATAAGAAATCCAGCTAAATATTGTTTGCAGACATAATTTTCTGGCTACTTTTCTGATAACATAAAAATCATTCAAATTAGGTTTCATAAAATAATGTAGAAATTGTTGTAAGGTTTATAATTTACAGAAGATAGTTCAGTAAACATTAATTTGAAATTAGGCATTAGTTTTTTTTAATAACATCTCCATAAGATGTTATATTATTTTTTAAAAATTGCACATAGACTTAAGTCTTTCTTGTTTTATTCAGTGGCTTGCACAAAATAAGTGTTCAGTGAATTATTTTTATTAATAACACAAAGCTTGGAAGGAGAAACAGAGAGATATTTAACATTCTCTTAAGTTGAAGTGACAATTTCTTATCGTGCAGCAAAATAATTAACAAATATCTTTATTGGAGGTTTACGATTATGTACTTAGTGGAACTCTGTCTGATATAAAGATTAGCTACAAATATCTTTCAGACTCTGAAAATGTCAAAAACGTTTCTTTTGGAAAATAAGAAGAGCATGGAAATAAATGTAGTAAGTTATAAAAGCTTATAAACTCACATAGGAGGGTAAAGGATTAAATTATTTTAAAATATTCTTAAGCTCTTTTTTCATTAGCACTTCTAGAAAAATTGAATGTTACTTATGGCAAGAAAAAAAATCTTCCTAAAGAGCATACAGAAGTCAAGTATATGTTAAACAAAACTTTATGAGAAGAGGCACAAACAGTATTGACTATTTTTATCCATAAGGAAGTATAAGTCGGCAGTGATGCATAATATGCCTCCTAAAATTCCTCCGTTTGTCCTTTTAGTTATATGGCTGCAATACATAATAAATATACTCATCTTGGGGTACCGGTGTTGCTATCTACACATACCACATCTTGATACAATTCTGCCTTAATCATCTAAGAAGCTGATACATCTGCATCCCAGTTAGGCTGCAGGAAAAGGAATGGACTAGGAAGCCAGCAGTAGGAATTCTAAGCAGGTGTAAGAGAGAAAGTACAAAGAAGCACTGATTGTGGTATGGTTTGGCTGGGCACATCTTTTTCAAAAGAGAAGATGATCAAGAGATATAGAAAAGGGGAGGGAAAGAAGGGGAAGAGGATACGCAATTTAAGATGTGCTCTGTAGATGTACCAACTCCTTAGCATTGCTAACATGTACTAAAAAAGATGTGCATGGAAAATGAAATATCAAACCTAAACTGGAAGATAATAATAAATTGTTTGCGCTGGTACATACAGTAAGACTATGGGAAGATCCTGCCTGTTTGCATCTGTCTATTCAGGAGTAAGAATCACCCCAACATCTGAAAATCCCATTTATAAGGTTCACTGCACGACCTCCACATACTTGCTCCTTGGTCTCTTTTCACTGTGACTGAAGATCTTTGTGCTGTTCTTGGCCTCTGCAAAGGGTGGGTCAATGGTTTCTGGGAGGCCTCTGACCAAGGCTGGGAATAACCCTGGAGGAGCTGGGTGGGGAGGATCAAATTCCATTCCCTCAGTGCTAATAGCTTATCTTCTGCATCATTAACAATTTCTGTATTAGCATCTAATATTTTAGAAAGAATGTCATTCTTTAAATTGTCATTACTGCTGGGCAGGTTATAAAACTGCACTGCTGCTCAAGTTGTTTATTCTGGCTTTTAGTCTTGAAGAAAAAGACAGTGGGAAGTGTAACGTATGCAATAGTGTAGCTTCATTTGCCAACAGCCATATACAAATATGAATAATGTATAAGCAGAAATTATTTTAAGCTATGCAGTATCTTGTTTTGTAATTTATATAAGTCAAATCAGCTGGTTTATACAACCTTATATTAAGACCAAAAATGGCATGTTAGAAGAGAAATTATACAAAGAATCTCTTCTTTTTTGTATTTTTCCTACATTTTATTGAGACATTGTGAGAAAATGGTTAAGAATTCAGATTTTAATATAAGTTTGTGGTAGGTTGAGTTCTTGGTCTGTAGTTTATTCATGTTTTCGGTTGTCTATCCTCAGGCAAGTGTAACTTTTCCAAACTCCACCATTTTTGTTTGTAAAAGGCTGATAATGAGGATCACCTTATACAGTTGTTAGAAAGATAAATTTGATACTGTCTGCAAAGTGTTTGCTGCAGTGCTTCAAGTTCATGAATATATACCCTCAAAATGGTAGTTTTTATTACTCTAGGATTCATATTGACTTTTATGAAGTAGCTATGTATCCAAGCAGAACTGGAATTTAGACATATAAAAGGTCTTTTATCAATTATTCCCCATTATAGAGAAAAGAGTCAGAGTTTGGATCTCATTCTCTTGGAACTCATTCAACATTACTAGCATTGACTGCTGCAGATAAAGTGTTTGATCACTTGTCTAACACAAATTTTTAAATGTCGCCACCATAGCTAAATTGAAGAGGAAAGAAATCATTTTAAAATGAGCAGGTATATATGCTTAGAGTAAAGTAAAAGTAGCCTTTGATCGAGGAGGCTTCAGAGCAGTTGTATATCTTGTACAAATAAATTCATACCCAAAGGTTCAATATAAATGCTTCAGCCTCTTTTGTTTTAGAGTAGTGGTCCTAGAATTGGGAGAATCAGAGTTCCTATGAAAACGATCTTTTAAAACATAGGCCTGTGGTAACTGAGATAAAAGTATTTTAAGATATCAACATTCACATCCCTCCTTAGTTTACTCAATATATTAAATCAGTGACATGTGGAAGGCTCATTTCTTTAAATACATGGAATAATGACCAATAAATTAAAAGCAGTTCGTGATAGATTATCTAGTTTCCTGATATTACAAGAACCCAAACAATGCCTAAAATTCCACCGGAATTACAATTTATTTTCATAAGGTTCTATGACAAAGATATGTCTAAAATTATGATAGCTGGTTTTTTCCCTAAGGGATCCTCCTTAGATAAGTAACAGCATCCTTTCAAATACACTTATGGAGAGATGACTTCAGTGACTTGGCAAAACTTCAAAACAATAGTGCAATTTGAGAATAATGTCACTGTTATTTCTCCTTTTAAAAAATGCTTTTCTGTCTCTTAGTAGAAGAATTCCTCTTGTCTCCCTCTCTACTCTCAATAAGTAAACTAGACTAACTCAGATTAAAAGAAGTTAAATAGGAGGAAGGATAGACAGGAAATGACTAAGTAGAAGTAGGTGGATCTGTCAAAGCGAAATGAGGCTACGTAGAAGAGAACTAGCAAGAAGAATGGCATTAGCAGAGTAATTCTAAATCCTGAACTTTTAAAAACCTCAATCAAGCATTATACTTATTTGAAATCAAAATAGAATTGTTCCCTCGACCTTCTACAAGTGTGGCAGGGTGTTCTAGATCAGCTGGTGATGTATTTGAATTTTATACATGGAAACCACAAAAATTTCAGCATAATTTATGCTTCTAATACTGTAATTCCCAAACTATATGTAAGGTGCTTTGGAGCCCCATAGCTCACTTTGCGAGTGGCATGAAATATTTTAAGTTTTTAAGAGAAACAATAGAGTAACCATAATTGTCAGGGGCCCATAAACTACTAGCTGGAGGTTGGTCACAGTTTTATGACTACAGTGATTCTACTTGTCTAAGTAACATGCAATAACCAAGTGGATCCACATGAAAATAAATGTGGAACAGGAAATAAAGGTGGCAGTATCCAATCTGATTACAAAGTTTCAGAAGTTCTCATTACTAAATAATTTATTTAAAATGACATAAATATATACCTATATATTTCATTCATGTGTCTTATTAAGTTGGTTGGGAATGAACAGTTACGGAATATGGCCCTAACTGTCTAATGAACAGAACTGTTAGGTAATTCTTTCGGCCTAAGAGCACTGTGGAAATAACTTCTGAGACACTGAGGTCCATGATGTGAGAAAGTTTGATGGCTTCCATCCTGCCATTTGCAAAAATGTGGAAATAGGCCTTAACATTTATGTCAAGACTTAGCTAATCTGGGTGAGATATGGTACTATAAGATTATATTTAAACATATAATCCAAAGTCTATGTCAACCGTCTGAGAGCACTTCAGATCTCCATGAATCTAAGACAGCTCTACACAGATATAAGTTGTAGAGGCAGGAAGTGAGATGTAAAGTAGACAATCTTGCCTTGTTTTACTTTTTTTTTTTCTTTGTTCCTGGTCTCTATTGGGTTTCTACCTATTGGACTGTAACGATTGCTTAGGCCAACTGGATTTTTCTTATCACTACTTAATATGTTTATAGATATCAAACCTACAGAACTAGTCTATTTGCACAAAACAGAGGCAAATTTTGCTTTCAAGGAAAGGATTACAAAAAAGTAAGTTCTTGCATCACTTTTATTTTAAAGCATTATACAATGCCTTGTAGTTTATCAAAGAGTGAGTTAATAGATGTTGCCAAAGTATGATAACCACATACTTTATTGAGCTCCATACATTTTCTTTCATGGCTTGTCCTGGTTCTTTATCTTGCCCCTTTGGGTGATTTATGGTAAGAAAGCAGAACTGCCAATTTAAACTTGTACTTTAACCCCCAAAGCCAGCTACAATAGAACTATTGCTACATTACCATGGTTGTTGATTTGATGTAGACATTGTTTTTCAGATGGCAGTTTCCATCATTCGGCACCACTATCCCTGCCAATTTGCTATCAAGAGCAAGATGAGATGTCTGATCTGTCATCACCAGCAGCAATCTTTTAGCTTCTTTTCTCCATCCAATATGACTCTTAAAATAAACATGTAATTAGACCTTGTACAATAACATAGATCTGTACTGTGGTTTTGCCTCAAGTAAACCATATGTTTGAGTTGACAAACTTTAAGTCAGGCTAGCATGATCTACTTAAGTATAATCCTTCTTGCTTCATAAGTAGCATTCACATTTATTTGTACATCCTCTATTTCACCACAGTCATTTGACCACACTGGTTCCTGGCTGCAGATTTCTAGTGTTCCGGGGGAGGAGGGATAAGCCAGGTTGCAAAGCAGGACACCAAGGTCATGTGAGTGGGACAACAAGCTATTTTTGGTTTCTCCTTGGAGTGCGGTGCAAGAAAAGCGCAGCCCTTTTGGAAAGGCTTTCTCTGTATACATGTTCCTTTCCCAACTGCGCCCCTCAGACCCAAATGGATATCAAAATGAGTAATACTGGAGATGTTCTTCTATGCTATGTTTTCACTCCATAAATCAAAGCAAAAACAAAAATTCCAAATTCTCTGAGCTCCCACTGATGTGAAACTTCTTACCTCACAGACGGCTGCCTGAAGCATGGCATCAAATCCTCCTTCAGGGGTGTCTATGTTCCCAGAGATTTTTTGTCTGTGGACCGCTTTTTCAAACTCAGTGATATTTTCTGTCAGAGACAGCACATGGATGTATCCATGGGGAGGCATACAGTCTAAATTGTAGTCGCTGTATGGGAAAAGACGAAGTACAAAGTCTATATTGCCATGCTTGCTCACTGGTTCCAGAATACTACTAACAGTAAATTCCTGCAGTTGGTATGAGAAGGAAGTAGAATTTCATTTGCCAGGGAAATTTTGTAACTTAAAAATGTGCAAAATTATAAGTTTAATATCGGTGAACATAAGAGCAGGAAATAAGGGCTTTAAGGTTTGGTGTTCAAAAAAATAGAGAAGGTGAAACATGTTCTTTAATAAGGGTAAACTAAGGGCTTCCTGTGTCCTGATAGGCACTGTTAATTTTTAATAAGAAAATAAGACTTTTCAGCAGTTTCCTATCATAATTGGTCATGGAACAACTGAAAAACATTTTTGGGGAAATAGTTTTGGAATTCAGCCTAAATAGTATATTGTTTGATTTGTAAGGAAGACTATTACACTCATTTAAAAAATGATGCTCAGCGTGGAATTACTGTTGCCAATTAAAATTCATTAAATTTGCTTTGACCATTCCACGATATCTCAGAAAGTGAGATTACATCCTTAGATACATTCACCTTCAAGGAGAAGGCTCTTGAAACTCCACTAAAATATAAATCGATCCTAGCTTAGTATAATGGACAACAGAGTTGTTTTGGTAACTTGGAATATATAGTTTAAGGCAATCTGAGCAATTTATGGAAGTATAACATATGCTAAAAATTATATATGAGAAAAGAATTATACAGACTTATTTCTCAAAATGGGAAGAAAATGTTCAAATGAGAAAGGGAACAAGGAAGAGGGGAGAGGGAAAGGAAAGGAGGGACAAGAAACAAAGAATGGAAGGGAAAAAATGGAAACAAGTCTGTTGTAGATCAGGAGGGGAATGGGGTTGAAGGGATGGGAAGGGAATGGGAAAAAAAGAAGAAGCAAGAAATGTACAGGTACAAATTACCTATGATGAATGTTATCATTGTGTATACCCAAAACGTACCAGTGAAAGAAAAAGTAAAACGAAATGCTTACATTTTGCAAAAAAAGCAGCATAATTATTCATAATCATGATACAGTCTCGGAGAGAGAGAGACTCATCATTGGCAAGACAGATACTTTAAAATGTACTGAATCTAAATTCAATAACTTTGGAGCAATGAAAAAGGAGAAACACAAAATTTCCACAGAGATATTTATGTACATAATGCCTGAGGGCTGGAAGTTTATTGAAAGTTACTAATATGAGACAGGACATTGTGTGTGTGTGGGGGTAACAAAATGTGAGCAAATAATATTTTGACGAATGTAAAACAACAAACCCAAGCTGCACATAATAATTTTCACCTCCTCAAATATTTTTGATTCTTATCTAATATGAGAAAGTTATAAAACCTTCTAAACTCTTTACATATGAACAAAATGAAATTTCATAAGACAAATATTCACTTAAAATGATCCACACCAAAAATTAAATACCTGCACTGATTGTGAATCCTCCCGGGGTGGATGCTAATGTATGGTGAGACGGTTTTGTCAACATAGGAGCCAAACCCAAGGCGGAAGTCATGGGAGAATAATGCCATTTTTCTAGATAAATCATTTCCAACAGAATTTAATTTTTCTATATTATTGTGCATCGATGCTGATACATCAACAAGATAATAAAGATCCACAGGATATTTCTTCAGAGGATGAATTTTCATCATAAAATTAGCTTCAGCTCCTAGATCAAAAAAAGAAAAATATCATGTAGTTTTCATTTTATAAATCTCTGAATAAACTGTCAAACATTCAGCTGCATTTTAACATCTAGAACAAATGTCACAGATTTGTACATTATGGAGTCTGGAAGATTCTATAAGACATATAAAAAGCCAATTTATTAGTTTTCATATTCTGCAATGCATATCTCACAATTCTGTAGGTCCATCAGGAATAATAATGAACCAACTCAACATAAATGTTAAAGGGTATCATCACATAAACTACCACCCTAAGTAGCTAAAAAAGCATAGTGCAGGGCTGGGGATTTAGCTTAGTGGCACCACAATTGCCTAGCAAGCACAAGGTCCTGAGTTCCTTCCTGATACTGAGCAAACAAAACAAAACAAAAAATTGCACAGTGCAAAGCAGCAAGCAGCGTTCTGCTCCAATAAGGGTGTAGGTAGCTGCTCTTAAGGAATGACTGCAAGCAAACTAGAATGACATTTTAAGAATGAATACAGATGAGATGTAAAATCTCTGGTACTAGATAGTACCTTAGGGTATAGGAAATAATGAGTATTTCATCATGAATTAGTTAATGAGAAAAATGAGGAAAAGAAAGGTATTCAATGGAGGCACAACAAAGATCTGGAGAATATTTGCCCTACACGCAGTAAGGGCTCAATAAATATGTGCAGCAGAGGCACCAGAGAAGCAAGGCACAGACCTTGAACAAAGTAACTGGGTGGGAAGCAGTACCCCAATGAGAAATGTGTGGGGAGTTTCCCAAGGACAGCTGTCTGCAAAGCAATTTTATTTGGTTTTCTGTTACACTATCATTTGACACATGGACCTAAGTTATTCCCGGAGGGCCCTACAGAGTTGGTAAGTCTGTTTTGAATTTAACATATATTGGGAGAGTCATCTATTTATAATTTGTGAATTTTACTTTTTAAACAATAAAGCAAATGCATTTTAAGTCATAATTATTTGTCCATGGAGAATATGTTGCATGGAAAGCATTTTCTAAAATTCCAACTTGTACACATAATTGGTAGTCTGAGCTCCTTATTAGGAGAAATCCCTAGTGGACCAAATCATAAAGCACTTAAAAGTAGCAATGTTTTCTTTTCAATTATTTCACAAATCAGATGTTTTCCATGTGAATCACCTAACTATAAATTAGTAAAGTTGTAATGGCACATAATAATAATTACGAGAGAAAGAGGGTATTTATTCAAGCCTGATGTTCTTTACGTGCAGGAAACCCTTTTGGTGTAATTTTCCTACTTTGGCAGCTCAGGAGTTTGGAAGGAATGTATATAGCCCAGCCCCACCTATTCCCTCACCCCTTCCCTTTAGGAGCTGAGCTGCCTTTAGAGAACATTTAGTCTGCATATCTTTTGGGCCTGTAGTGGAAATACCTATCTGTAGACATGGAAATGTTAGAAACTGGTGGTACCCAGGGCAAGTGAATGAGAAATACACACAGAACAAACTGGACGGAAGAGTTGATGTAGAGGGGCTTGAACTTTAATCTGCATGTCAGTATTTTTGTTTGTTTGTTTATTTGTTTTTGTTTTTAATTTATAAACTGTGTGGTTGTTTTATTTAAACAGTTGACTCAGGCATATGGCTGAAGGTCTTAGGCACTGGCCACTTGGTATTTTTATTTTGGTGAATCACTGCAATTTATGAGGGTGCTGTCTAGAAATGAATGGCTGACTGTTTTTGTAGAGGCACTGCTAGAAGCAACAAACATTCAGCATATTGTGTGGGGCCTGAGCAAAAGTATGATTTGGTCACCTAAGCAAAACTGTGAGAGTATGTTTAGCATCAGCAAAATCATAGTCCTTGGAGGCCCAAGCTTTTCGGGACACTCCAACCAAATACAGGCCACACAGAGGACCTCAGCAGATACCATCTGTTTATACCCTACAAGCAAATTCTGGTCTCACTGGCCTCAACAAAGAAGTTGTGAGGAAGGCTTGACCAACTGTCAGGGTTTGAGCATATAGGCTACAATGGCTTGATTTTGAACCATCCGGATGCCAGCCTTAGCACAGGTACCTGGATCAGTTGAAGTCCTTAGCAGGGTGAAGGCCTTTGTAAGGTATAGTTTCAATAATGGGGGGAAAAGGGAATCTTTCCATATACAGGTCTTTTAGTCATTGCTGGAAAGAATAATAAAATGCTACTACTTTACATTGCAAGGCCCCTGAACTTCTTATGAAGTTCAAGCTCTAAGTATCAGCTCAAGATAGGTAGCCCTAGGTAGGCTGACCCCAAATTCTACTCTCCTTGCTGGAAGGAAACTGAAGGGGCCAACTTGGGTTACCAGTCCTTGCCCATGTTCTTCAGACATTTCCCACAGCCTCAAGCTGGCTTGGGGTTGGATAATTATGTGAGAGCAAAAAGTCTTGGAGACAGGTTTTCTGGGCAATGGTTTTTCCTAGTAAGAAACAGTTGAAATACCTTCTGGTATCATGGATAGTTAGTTCATAGTGGAGTGCCACCAACAGAGGGCTCAAAGGCCAGAGGATGTAAAAGCTATGGAACATATCTGTTCATAGACAAACATATCTAAAAATTAGACTTAATATTTGTGTCAGTCACCATTGTGGAGTTATTAGCAAAGTAGTTATGGCTTTGATGCTAGTTTTAAAAGCTATGCTGAGGTAGATTGTGTTTATAGATTCTATAAAGCAGGCAAGGAATGAACTGATATAACCAAGAAAAAATCACATAAGCTTCACCTAAGTACTATCAAGTCCCTGATAATATCTTTAGGAGCTGTCTTTGGACTGGAGCACATTCTTAAATCTGGAAACATAATTTGGTCTAAAGGAACTGCTAAACAGCCTGGGATTGGCTTGTTTTTAAATTGATTTGGTAGGGGCCTGTGCTGTGATAATCCTGTATATTCCATTAACTGTAAAATCTCTTAAAAAGTGAGACGTATAGGGTCCCACAGTGAAATTCAAATTGAATTAAACTGTTAAAATGTTGGAAGAACTATTTATCTCCCTTTAAAAATATTCAAGATTTAGCTAAAGAAAGATCTCAGTCTCAACCTGGTATCAAGAATACATGCAAATACTGAGATAAAGCAGATTGAAAAGATGGGGATGAAAAGCTTGGATTAAAAAAAATACTCACCTAGGGCCAGGGATTTGGCTCAGCGGTTCGGTGGCCTGCCTTGCAAGTGCAAAAACCCGAGTTCAATCCCTGGCACCAAAAACAAAAAAACAAAAAACCTCACCTAGTCAGATAATTTGATAATGGACTTTAATTCCTTCCCACATTCATTTACATATTGGTGTGTTGCATATCTTTTAATTTTAATCAAAAGATTTTGAGCTTCAAATTTCTTGTGATGTTTAAAATGATGTGAGGTTTGTGCTGCAATTCTGGGAATTTTAGAATTTTATTATTTGAATATCTGAACATTTTTGTAGAATCTCATTATGAAACCACTACACTGGATAAGGCACACAGGTGTAATTTGGGGTGATACATATTTACAAGGTAATTTTATCTAAAGAATTTCATTAAAGTCTTACAATCCACGTTCAACTTATGTCTCTTATGACTTTAAAACTATCTGGAATATTCCAACCGTCAGGTTTTAGTACAGTGTATCCTCCACATATCCCGAGTTATAAGGTGCCGTGGACTCATATTTAAATTGGATTTTAATAAAGGATATAAAAGTCAGTGTGCCCTTTTTACTTCACATGAAGTTAATTATAGCTGCTCTTGTAACTTTGGGGACTGGAGATGTTAGAGATAAAGGGCGATGATTACTATATTTTCGTGTCTCATATCTTTAACAGTCACAGAAAATAATGAGTAATTTTCTATGATGAGAATGAGATTCTGGTGATGACTCAGTTCTTTTTTTGTTTCATGTTCTTTTTTTACTATGATACTGGTACTTCCTTCTTTTCAAAGCTTTCTATTTTTGAAAGCCAGGTAAATGTGAATAATCTGAGTGTGTATTTATGTGAATTTCTTTAAAATATATTCATATTCTCCTGGATGTAGTGCTTCCCAATTTTCCTTTTTTTATTTTATTTTATTTTTTTGGAGACAGGGTCTCACTATGTAGTTGAGACTGACCTGAAACTCACTATGTCGCCTAAGCTGGCCTCGAACTCACAGTGATCCTCCTGCCTCAGCCTCCCGAGTGCTGGGATTACAGGCCAATTTTCCTTTTTTACCTTGGGGTTTGAATCATAAAATCCAGATATATTTTTATGCATTTAGTTCTTCTTGGTATTTTCTTGGATAATTTCCATGGTTTTTTCATTTGTCTTCCTCTGTAGTTCCTTTTTCTACAATCACTGTCTATACAGTGGAGTCCATCTTTTTGAAGCTTAAAATTTTTTATGACACTGTTTGCTTAAAATATGCCAGTAGCTCTCCATCAATAGCTAAGGTTCAAATGACTAAACAAGATTAAATAAAGTGCCTAATAATCTTGATGCTACCTGCATATTTAGTTCTACCAATACAAAACTACATTTTTTGTAAATGCCCCCTCTTACACGCCACAAGTACACATTCCCATGCCTTCCTTATGTTCTTTCCTCTGCCAGGGGTGTTCTGACCTCCCTTCTTCATGTAATTACCACTTCAAGGCGCTGCTCAGTAATCTGCTCCTTTCTGGACTGGGCAGATGTCATACCCCCATGTTTCCATGGCAATTTCCACACTATTATATATACCATATAATTATGAGACTCCAGACAAGGTATCTTTATCTTCTGCTAGTAGCTAAAAAGTACGATAGGAGGTAGCTTGGTAGAATCATTTAGCATAGTATATGGTCTATAGTAAATACATGTATATTAGTAATTACTACTGTTACTATTCCTAGAGTAGAATCTAATCAGCAACATTAGAGTAAGAACTGTTTCTTCACCTGTAAGCCCCTGTGTTTGGCACATGCATTGTCCTCACTAGGTAGTTATTCAATAACTACTCGTGCTTGAAACACATTTTGGCGTGGCATTT